GAGTCTTCTTCCTACGTGCATTTTTTTAGTACACACAATTTGCTTTTAGTTTTTGGTAACAAAAATATACAATGTTTTTTTACTACAAATGTGACATTGCATAGGTTTCTTGGATTTTTTTTTGTGGATTTTAACTTTTTTATGCTTAGTTGAGCCTTTTGAAAAATCAACATCTCAATATTCTGTTATAGGATGGTGGTGGGATAGAAAAAAAACTAGGAATGCGTTTTTTTGTCTTCTTAAATACATTGGCCATTTTCTGATTTAATTTTTTACTATCGTTGTTAACCATATTTGTGGATTTATTTGGATTATTTGAATGGTTTTTAACTTTTTTAGCTGAACCTATTGAAAAATAAAAAAAAATTAAGGAAAACTCACTAAAAACATCTCAGTATTAACTTACAGACTAGTGGCAAGATAAAAAAAAACTAGGAATACATTCTTCTGCCATTTTATACGATTTGGCAGTATTCGGTTTTAATATTTTACTGTCGCCATTATACATGTTTGATGTTGAAGTCTTCACCGCGGAAGGCATCGAAACATTATTAGGAGTTTCTTCCAACATCTATAAATTATTCAAGAGTTCTTAAAGACATTGATATTTAATTTTTTACGTATTTAAGTTTAACTGACCGTTTTGTTGTTGCCAAATTTTTCATTTTCTATTTGCTGATTCTGTTTTACTGAAACTGTTTGCTCATTCAAAATACCATTATTTCCTAAAATATCTTTTTTAAAATTTTAATTCTGTATTATTATTTATTAAGTTAATGTTTGTGTTAAAAAGATGGGAGATCCCATACAAAATGTGTGTCAGATATACCGATGTAACAAGACAACACGTTCCCGCCAGCATGGTCAGGCTGATCTAACAAAGGCCTTACGAATTTTTTAGCTTTTATATTTTTACAAGAGGGATTGTGGTTAAAAAGTTGTTTATTCAAACTATTGATGGTAAAATAATTATTAACGCATAGGTTATAGTATTTTATTTTTCCCAGTTCTAGGTTTTTGAAAATGAAACTAAATTGATTTTTTACTTTCTTTCTCTTTTATTATGCTATTACCAATATCTGAACAATTTTCCTCTATAAATCCATAGACGAAAGTTAAGCAAATTTTTTGAGAGATCTAACATACATTTTTTTCTTCTTAAAAATATTCTTAATAATTATAAGTACATATAATATTTTTGGAGGGTAAGCTATGATTATAGATCTTATAAACATGAATAATAGGACATTCTTATTTGACATATTTGAGGCCCTTGTGTTTTCGGGGTCCTAAACTGATATGAACATGGGGCCGTTTGCCCCAAAATTATATCAAATGAAAGGGAAATATCTAAGGTTTCAATACAAAAAAATATTATTTTCATTTGTTCATTTTTGAAAAAGTTATGGCAGTTTTAAGTACAAAAAACATCCCGATAAAATGTAATTTTTATCGCAAACATTACATTTTTTTTTAAATTTTCGACAGCCATTTGCACATAGAAGATAAGATGTCGGGACAAATTTTTTTTTTTCATTTGATAGTATATAACATAACCTTTGATTTGATATATGTTTAAAGGACGCAGTATTTCCGGAACATTTTCAAAAGTTCAGTTGAAAAAGATCTATGTTTTTTACAATATTTTAAGTTTTGAACGCCCCCTATATAAGGGGAAATTGTCCAATTTTAATAAAAAGTATGTCAAATGAAAGATGTACTTATAATGTATTTAGAAAAAAAAA